CGTCAAAGCGCCGGAATCTATATAAGCAAGGCGAAGCGATTGTGTGTGAGGGGGGAGGTGCCCCATAGGGAGGGCTTGGGGAGGGGGGCGTCCAGGTAGCTTTCCCTGAATAATCTTATTCTGCTTCCTCAAAAGCCGAGGAGCTCCCGTTTGCCCGCTCTGGAAGCTTTTTATTCCATTTGGCTGAAAAAAAAACTCTCCTGCCCCCCCCACAAGTCAAGGTGAGCGCTTTCTTTCCGGACGAGCGCCCTTCGAAGGAGGAACGCGCACAAAGTGGTGGGAGTGCCGTCTGGTGTAGTGGTTAGAGGTTTGGGCTGAGAGTCGGGAGGTTCAGGCTCTTAGACGATAGCTCAGAAAAGTCTCCAAGTGACTTTAGATCCTCCGTGGTCTTCTCGCTGCGTATTTCGCAATCTAACCTATGTCAGAAGGTTGTGGGGGGGAAGTGGGGGCGAAAGCCATGTACCGATTAAGCAAATTAGAGCAAAGGTGGGATAGAAATGCATGCAATACGTAAATAAATTCAGAAATCCACAGAGTTAAATCCGCGGCTACACTTTGGACTTAAGGTAGTGGCATTTTTACCCCAACAAATTCACAGAAGATCTAGCAATCTACTAGTTCACAGAAGCTGGCGATATAGGAAAACTTGAACTTTTGTCAGTTGTTTCGGCTGCTTCACCTACTTAACAGTAAGGGCCATCAGCTCTGTTGGACGTAGGAGTCCCTGAGCAATTTTAAAATGCCCAAAGTGCTCCCTGACCCACCTGTTTTTGATGCTTGAAGTTCACCTGACTGAGAGCTGCTTGAAAGTTTGTGGGTAGGTACACAGATTCTAGCTCTGATTCTCACTTAACTAAAATCTTGTCATGCTACAATGCAAACGACCATTGTGGGGATTTTAAAAAATCCATGTAAAGAAATGTGCTATAATAGTTGGACCATTGTTGGGATCAAAAAAAGTATCCATGTAAAGAAATGTGCTATAATAGTTTTTTAAAAACTGTGAAAAAGTGCATGTGTTAGCTTTAAGGAATCATGCAAAATCAATGCAGTCTGGTGATGTTTACTTGTTGCTGGATGGACTTTCACTGATGAAAGAAATATATAAATTTGTTAGCAAGATTAGTTTGAAGGGGAAGGGAAAGAGGGAGGTTAACTCCACCTCAGCCTGAGTTGTTTTTTTTAAATCTCTGCAAGTGAAATTCATTCATTCATTCATTCATTGCTTTCACTGATGAAAAAATATATATAAATTTATTAGCAAGATTAGTTTGAAGGGGAGGGGAAAGAGAGAGGTTAAATCCACTTCAGCCTGAGTTGTGTTTTTTTTAAATCTCTGCAAGTGAACTCATTCATTCATTCATTCATTCATTCATTCACGTACCCATCTATCCATTCATTTAAGAAGCTTATATACTGATTGATTTAATTCCAGCCACAACTTTAGGTGGTTGACAATCAAAAGAAGAACTCACGAACCCACCCCACATACCACATGTTAAACTGCTGAATAGCTCAGTAGTTTAGAGCTCTGGCTATGGAGCCAGAGGTTGGGAGTTCGATTCCCCCCTGTGTCTTCTTCACAGGGGTTGGACTTGATGATCCTTAGGGTCCCTTCCAGCTCAGCAGTTCTGAGATTAAGAAGGAAAAAAAAAGGCAAGTCCAAAAGTAAATAGCAAAATAAGCAAATGAAAACCTATATGATGGCAGGATCAGGTGACTCAATTATAGACTGGATCAGGAGAGGACATCTTTGAAAGCTTTGAAAGTATGGAATTGAAGTATGGATTTTCTCAGGTCTGTATATCCCTCTTTCTAAACAGACAGGCATAGGATAATGCAGTCAGTCTCTAAAATGAGAAATCCAGAGTTTGTCACTCTACAGATGAGGCTCATGGACACCAACACCAATATCAACCTCCTTATGCTATTCTTGGCAGGTCTGATGGACTTTGTAATTCAACAACTTTTGAAGGGCCTCAAGTGGCCCAGCCATCCTCTAAATGATGTAGACACTTTACTGCAGATTTGATTCTCTTCCTTAATTTATGTGGAATTCATGGGCTATAGCCCTACAAGCCCAAATTCTACATATTAAGGAGTCAATCAGATCAGAAGATGTTGGGGTTCTGTATCATGATTTCTTTGTAAATATGGCATTTCTTTGTTCTATGATTCATTTTTTTTAATTCTCTAGAGAATTAATTTCTGTAATCTGATATGGTTTGTTCTCCTGCACTTATCATTTATAATCTCTTCAAAGAAAAACAGGAAGGAAAGGGAAGTGTTCATCAAAATAAACCTTTGATTATAATTGTATTAGCCCTTTGTTTTTCCTGATCTCTCTCTCTCTCTCTCTCTCTCTCTCTCTCTCTCTCTCTCTCTTATTCATGCTCTCTACTGCAGTGGTCCCCAACCTTGAGCCTCCAGATGTTCTTGTACTTCAACTCCCAGAAATCCTGGCCAGCAGAGGAGGTGGTGAAGGCTTCTGGGAGTTGTAGTCAAAGAACATCTGGAGGCCCAAGGTTGGGGACCACTGCTCTACTGCAGTAATTATCCTTGACTTCAACCATTTGAATACAGATGTACTGTTAGCAAGTCCCACCCTAAGAGACCATCTAGGTTTATGGCAGGATTTATCTATCCATTACCCAGAATATGGACAATAAGACTGAGGTTAAATGACGGTGTGTGACACCTTAGGGTTCAGAAGTATGTGGGGTGGGCTTTATCTCATGATTAAGACTGAAGGCATCTTAAACTTAAACACAGTTGAAATTAGCTTTAATTTTTTTTGGGGGGGAGAGATCCTAAAACATGAAGAGAATGTCTTGATATCTTGAGAAAGGTTGCTTGAACATGTGTAGGGTGCCATGTTCTAATTCACCACAATGAGTCCCTGGGTAGCTAGCATTACCAGCACTGAGTGCTAGGCAGTTTCTGTTTATACATGGGAATCTCTCTCTTTTTTTCCAAATAAAGAAATGAATCACTAGGTTGCTGGGTGGGTTGTGTCATCTGGGGATCTCCTATAGTATAAATCCCGTGTTCTGATTTCACAAATGAGCAGATTGCAACAGAGTGCTTCAGATCAATCCAGAGATAGCTCAGGACTGTCAGGGAGATGAATTGACCACATATATACACTTTTTCATCTTTGGTGAAAAGACCTTGGTTGTCTTGGACTAATCAATCCAAATTTAATCCTAGCTCTAGTAGACTCACTGAAATGGACGGCATCTACATTAACATTAACTAATAAGTCCCATTCATTTTAGAGGATCTATTCTAAGACATTGATAATTTTCTATCTAACCAGAAGTCCTCCTGTGATCACTGAGATCTACTGCAACTTAAAAGGACAAGGGATTTCAACCTTGGCTTTCTAGACATTAAACATGGATAGAGGTATCAAGCGAGTTAAAACAGCTTTCATTATGGAACCAGATAGGGCACTTTGGCTGTCGACAGATTTAAACGAATGAGGATCATATAGAACCATAGTTCTCAAAGTTGAATAACCCAGGTGTTCCTGGACTGCAGCTCCCAGCTGTGCTTGCCAGATTTGTGGGAGTTGCAGTCTATGAACACCTGGATTACCCACGGTTGGGGACCACTGCTTTATAGAACATCCTAGTAGATAGCATTCCAGGTGTTGTAGAACTTCCATTCCCATGAGCCCCTGGTGCCGCAGCTGAAAATATGGGATTGGGAGAGCAGAAGGTCAACAACATTGCAATGGTTTGACTCCTCATGGTGGATTCCAATTATACTGAGAAATCATCCGCCAGGATAAATGGCCAACACTTTCCTTTCCTGCCTCTGCCACCGGAGCTGTGATTTTGTCATTTCTCACCTTTTCTATTCCTCACAAACCTTTAGAGAAGAATCACTTTTTAATACCCTCTTCCCAGCATGTTCTTGTCACACTTCAGGTGTTTCATCATCTTGATTCCAGCAGCCGTTTTCAACCTAGGCCTGCTGGCGCAGAACGCAACAAGAAAACCTCTTCGGGAAGCATGCTGGGCAGTCATTCAGAGGGCTATCTAAGCTCTGTTTCCAGAACATGTCCCATTATCCTGGTGTGGTGGTGGAGGGGAGACAGCTACCCATCTCTCACACCCACACACCCTTCCCACTATTCAGTGGCAATTCTCACACAGCCAAGTAGAATCCACAAAACGCATGCAGCTGTGTTTCTCCATTTCAGCTAATCAGTCCTAACCATTCCTCTGGTGCAGGAACAGACCTTTTGTAAAGCTAATGGATCCTAACTGGCCACTAGAGACCCATCCACCTTCTCACTACTATTGATTACCAATGGGGACAGCCCATGCCAATGAATTTGTCTGAGAAAATATCCTTCCTGTGGCTACTGTGAGGACTTCGGGTAAGATTGGAACAAGGGAGCTGGAAAGGGTAGCGCATGACATTAGCATCTTAGCAAATAAAAAAGACCCAGCACATCGGTCCGGCTGTACGGCCTCAGTCCAGTTCTCAGAAATAAGTTAGGAAATATTCAAAACACTTCCACCAGAAAATTGTGTATGCAGCTCTGTGACTTTATTGACTAGCTTGTTTGCACAGACTTCATTATTTTCACCATTCGTGGTTTCAAGAATAACGTGGCATCCTGCTTATACATATTTTCCCCTCCCTCCCCCAGCACCTTCCCCTGTTCGGTGTTCCTGCACAGACGACAAGGTCTGCATTTAGCCAAATTGCACATTGCGCTGGGACTCATAAGAATACACCATGCGGAGTTTGGGAGCAGCTAGAGGGACACTCTGCAAGCATTCGGGTTACTCTGCATTGAAAGGGGTGTGGGTGGGGAAATAAACCCAGACAATTTAACTTCTTTAAACCTAAGAACATTTTAGGGACTGAAATACGTGATATAGCAATTTTAGCTCAGTCAGGGAAATGACCAGGGAAACCAGGACAACAGGTGCTGTGTTTAATCCTTCTTCTTCTCTTTGGATGCTGCCTTTCCACCAGTTTCTTCTTTTTCATCTTTACCTTCTTTTTTCTCTCCTTCGCCTGCTTCCTCCCCAGCCTCTTCTTCTCCTCCCTCTTCCTCCTCTCCCTCTCCCTCTCCCTCTCCTTCCCCTTCTCCCTCTTCCTCCCCTTCTTTAGATTCTTCTGTTTCTTCCTTGGCTCCTAAATGAGAAGAGAAGAGAAGAAAAAAAATGTGAACACAAGGTAGCTTCTCAAAGTCAGCAATGGATGGGGTTCCACCATGATAGGGAGAAGCCCACAACTCAGCTCTATTTGGCCCATTGAAAGTGGAATGGCTCATATATTTGTGATGTCTTCAGGAAGAACTTTATCCTAGCATCCACAAACCTCTTAAGCTCTAAAAAAAACACACACACACACAACCCAGACTGCTGAAATGCACACCGGATTTTAGCCAATGTCAACTCAAGAGTTAAATATAACTTTCACCATGGAGCTTTGTCCTTGTGTCACATTTTAAGGTGTCACAATCACTCCAGGATTCTACACACCTTCTGTTTTGTATTGTTGACATAACACTAGAGGGTATGATGGGGCTTTCCATTATTAAAAAAGAAATAAGAAAAACATTTTGGCAGGGGTGGAGATTGTGGGAGAGACCCTCAAAACTCAAGGATGTGTTTGTCTGGATATTGCCTCTCATCCATTTTCAAACATTCATCATGTGTGTGCAGAATTGTTTGCACCACTGTCAGCACCGTTCTGTACACTTTTCCTCACAACTTCAAAATAACACTTCACTGAAAATACCTGTGCACTCTGACTAAATGTTCTAGGGAAGGGTGCCCCACTGATTTTGCTGGTACCTGTTTCTTAGTAAATGCACTTAATGTGAAGACTTCATCAAGGTCTCTTTTATTTTGAGCACTGTTTTTGGGCCAGATTATTGTTATTTTGTTCTACCTCTTGGAATAAGGTACATAAAAAATAAAATAAATAAACCAAGTGTAGCAGCTTCTGGTTGAAATACATCCAGGCCACTCCTTGGACATGGAGCCCATGCCTACATTGAATGTACAGCTCAGCACTCCATTTCATTTCGACAAAATGGGATCCATGGACTGAACATGATCCAGCCCAGTTTGTACTTTTTTCAGGGTTGTAATTCAGTTCATGCCCACCTCTATCAGATTAGTCATGCTCAAGGTATATCCGCCGAACATTAGTCATATTTAATGTACATCCATTGAAATTATTAAGACCTACTCTGGACCTAGAAAATGTCACCACTAGTAGGGATGCTGTTGTTACTTTTAGCCAGGATCCAGCACACTGTGCATTGACATTTAAGTCTGTTTTTTCAAGGCATAATCAATTATACCTTCATCTCCTTCTGCCTCTCCTTCTTCTCCCTCTCCCTCTCCCTCTCCTTCTTCTTCTCCTGCTTCTCCTTCTCCTTCAGCCTCTCCCTCTTCTTCACCCTCTTCTTCCTCTCCTTCTGATGGAGGAGCTTCTTTGGCTTCTTCTACTTTGGATGCTTCAATAGTCTCCTCCACTTCTATCTGTTCTTCTTGCACATGGCTAGAGTAGTAGGAAGGGAACGAACGGGCTGACATTAGGTAGGGACCACTCTGTAGACCACTGTAGGCTGATCTCCCAAAAGTCGTTGCACTCTGCGTATAACTACTACTTAGGCTTCCAACGCTGGTGAAACTGAGCCGAGTCTCCTCACCTTCGAGTAGTTTTCTAGAAAAGAGAGTACAAAATTGAACAAAGTGTTGGGCAAATGCACACATATTCATGCACACAAATGCACACATGACAGACACTGATTACAGGAGCTTGAGATTGTAAAATGGTAGTATAGCTTTGTATTTAAAGGTCTCTTGGAGAAAGGAGAATGATAGCAGAAGAAAAAACACAAACACACACACACACCTTGGAACATTGCACCAAACACAGAAAATAAACCACACGATCCAGATATGCAGAAGCACCAAGGGGATCAATTGGGCAGAGGTGGGGATATGAAATCAGCCCAACTTAAGCCTGTTAATTGATTATCTGATTTCCAACATGAAATTGTATATTAGATTAGGAGCAGCTGGTTTCTATATGAAGTTCATGTGCATTGCTATGCATATTTTTAACTGTATATGTTTCCTTCCCAGATACTGAAATATGTTTATGTGTTTATGTCCCTGTAATGCATGTATTTGTTAAGTACATTTGCTAAATATGCACATTTTCCAAATGTGGATCCATCTCGTCATCTGAGTATCATTGTGGGCTCAAAGCTAAATTGTGGAGGGCCACACCCTTTGTTTCTCAGCCAACTGTAGGTACAGCAAACACGAAACACATCCTTTCCTATTTCTCTGCCTCACTCTTTTTATATCCCCGTGAAGAGATTGCAAGGAAAAGTATACTAAATCAGGGATCCAAACTCAACGCTTGCAAAGGGATTTTTAATTGGATATAGAGCCCCATCGGATCAAGCAGAATGCTGTGGTTGAGTTGCATCTGAATGGTATTTATCAGATGTTTAATCTTTAAAAGTAATGGTTTTACAACTATGTTCTTCTCCAAATGCAGCAAACAGGATTGCTATCCTGTAAGAGCAACAGCATAAATTTGATGGATCGAAACTGGTGGGAAAGGGAGAGACTGGAAGCCAAATCTCACACCCTACGTCATTTATATATGAAAAGAAAATCCATTGAGTAAGACTGCTTAGTGTTATTGGCATTAACACAGAGAGAGATCACAAAAAAAAAGAAAAGAAATTTAAAATTACAATTGCAAAAATCTCTTTGGCCTGTCATTACCTGTAGGCTGCAATTTCAATGTCCAGGGCCATTTTTACATTGAGAAGATCTTGATATTCCTTCAGATACCTAGCCATTTCACTCTTTGTGTTTCTCAGTTCATTTTCCAATTTATTGACCGTATCCTGTTGGAAGTAAAGGAAGAGTTTAGTGTGTTAGCAGATTCTTTTTGACAAGGCCCAGAAGTGGTGCTGCTCCTCTTATTATGTCAGCAAATTGCAAGGCTTCTTTAATTTTGTACACATACTTCACTTCAGCAAGGATGAGGAATGTGTGGTCTTCTAGATGATGCTGGACTACAACTCCCATCAGCCCTCACTACTGGCTTTGTTGACTTTGGCTTATGGGAGATGTAGTTCAACAATGTCTGGAAGGTCATTTCCTGCAAACCTGCACTACATCTGTTGTTACTCCCCTCCCCTTCTGAGTGGTAAAAAATTACTGGGTATTTTTAACTAGCTAATGAGTTGGCTGCAATGTTAGTCATGCTTATCGCAAACCCATTAAATAGGGCTAGACAGCCTTGATGAACATAAATATGATTACGTTTGCCTCTGACTCCATGTACTTTATGTATTCTTGGCGTATATCACACTCATAGGCAGTCGTAAGTTATTGCATGCTAAAAGATGCAGGAACAAATTATTATTGGCATGGATTATTCCCAACTAGATTTGTTGAAGATATCCATGTTTAAAAATACAACTGGAAAACTATTCTACAGGGGCCTGATAATTTAGTTTAAATTACTGAGACTCAACCCATTTGCAGGGAATGTATGTGGTGCAGTCCTCAGAAACCTAAGTCAAAATGTCCAAAATTATGTGACTTATACCCGTCAGTATAAGCCAGTCTGCATAAACCTTGGTGGTGAAATGCTGCTAGTTAAGTAGTTAACTTAAGTAGTTACGTTTAAATAAATATATATATAAAGTGTCTACCACAGATTAGGCTGGCTTCCTCACTAAAAACAGTTTCAATCAAGTCCTCAAAATAACTGGTCCTAAACTCCAACTGCTTCTATTTAATTGGAAGGTGGATGAAACTGTCAATAAAAAATTCCAATCACATTTTTCAGAGACTATTAAAACTCTGTTTAATCCATAACAAGATGCCTTTATTCCTCCCACCCCTGTTGATAATTTATTCTCTTTGTCTCCTTTACATTTTTCACATAATCCTTCTAATGATGAGCATGAAGAATATATTACTGTAATTAACATGGTCGATGGATATCAGCGTTTTGCTTCAGACTTTCAGCACAAGGACAAATAACCATGTCTTACAACGGAAAGAGCATCATTCATTTTAATACTCTCCTTGTAAAAAAAGAAAAGTAAGAGAAAACAAGATACTAACTTCAAAGCAAACAACAATTAATTGTACTCATACTTAAATGTGGACTGTTGAACAAATGTTAGGGCCATCAAGTCATTCAAGTCAAGTCATTGGATTTAATGTTAACAAAACACTGTTACACTGGAGTGCTTCTATTTTATCATTTTTAATTTTATAGTTTCTAATGGAGCTAAATATGCAAAAATTGAAGGCAGCAGGAAAAGAGAAAGACCAAATATGAGATGGATCGACTCCCTAAGGACTGGACTTTACAAAGCTGAGCAAGGTTATAAAGGCAGGGCATTTTGGAGGCCACTCATACATACAGTTGTCATAAGTCAGAGGTAACGTGACAGCACATATAACAAAGATTTACTTCTGAGTAAAGGATTGGATTGACAGCTTAGGCAGTCAATCCAAAAGTTGACAATTAACTAGCTTATACTTTGAGCTACCCATTAAAACAAAAACAACACATATCAGGAGGAGTTTTAAAATTACTTTGCTATGGAAGTGGCTCTTTAAAAAGCAACATTCTATCAAAAAAAAAGTTATGTTCTATGCAGAATCAGAAGAAAACACTGAAGATGGATTATACTATGTGAGCTTCTGTGTCAGTTTCATTGCACAGCTCCCCCCAAAATGTTTGAAGATGACATTTATTTATTTATTTTAAAAAATGGAAACTTATTTTTAAAAGGAAAAAAATCAACATAATATATAATGCAGTTATGCTGTCATTATTATCCAAATGTCATATAGCAAAATGGCAGAAAACAGTAATATGAATTAAACTAGTTTGACAAAGTGTAATGTCTCATTAAAACATATTGATCTTACATTTCTGCCTTCCCCTCTCCAACCCATAAAGAATGAGGGTGCTTTAAAGAGATAAACTTAGATTGTTACTCAGCACAATAAAAATTATGTAAGATTCCTTAGCAGCCTCCAAACCTCCCAGGCAGCCTAATGTACAGCATAGATCAAAGCAGATTGCTTGGAATTAAAAATCCTTTTAATTACAGCAGCCTGAACTAGATGGTTGTTGAACCCTCCTAGTCTTCCTATTCTATAAAAACAATTCAGTCTGGTTTTAATTATTCAGACTGGTAAGAATGAATGGGTTTGAATCCAGATAGGCTTCTCATATCTGAGATCACTTAGCACTTAGAAAGATGCAGTACACTACTTCATGGTTAGCTGTCAGGTTGCAGAACAGTCAGATGTTTCAGCACTAAAATGGGTGGATAGCTCCCTGGTAAAACTGCATGGGGCAGAAGTACAATATGGGACCTCCACTGGATGTTGGTGCATTGCACCATTACCTGCTCGGATGATGCCACTGCAGCACATTACAAGGAGTGGGTGGGGTGCCATGAAACAGTTTCTTGCTTGCCTTGGTTAAGGCATGGACATTATAATCCCACATCCATGCTAGATACATACTTTCAAGCTAACCCGAAACTCTTGAACGGCAACAGTATTGAACTGAGATCATGAAATTTCTACCCACTCATATCAGGGACTACTCTAGAAAGAAAGTGATTGAGAGATGTAGGACATGGGACATATCTTCATTCAGTGCATACCAGATCATCAGGATTTTCTGGAGGATAGATGGGCAAGGCTTAATAAGTTTCCTTTGTTTTCGACAACAGCACCCTCAATTGCTCACAGGCCAGGAAAAAATGAATTTTGCTACATGATGCATATGGCCAAAAACTGTGCAGAAAATACTGAACAATGCACTCAAAGAAAGAGATGGGATGGGGGGGTTGAAATTTCCTTTGGTAGCCCATAACTTAAGTTACGTGTTTGTTCTAAGAATGACATTCCTTGCTATCACTTGCCATCTAATCAAACAGATTTAAACAGATTTGTGGCACATTCTTGCACATAGTTACTAGGAAGTAAGTCCAAATGAGTTCAGTGTTGCTCATTCTGAAGTGCCGCAAGAATCGTGCTCTTAGACAAAAAGGCTGGTCAAACCAGTACTCAAAACACTTTTCTACCTGCAAGATCCATTCAAATCAATGGCAATGGGTCATATTCCTGACTTGACATATACAGTTTTGCAATGACAGTGGCCAGCCTTTTTCAGTGGGGCCACTGCACATTTGAAGGGGGTCACAGATTGGAAACAATTATTCACACACCACCTTATAAAGTTAATTATGTGGCTTACACAGTCCTGTGTAAGAGCCTATATTCCATTTGCATTCTGTTTATGGCCATGGCATAAAAGGTTATGAATGGCTGAGCTAAACCATAAATATCTCTCTTTTCCTGAGCTGTGTCTGGGTGCAATTTTGAACTACATTCCATTGGTTTCAAGACAGTATTTTCTAGCAAGCATATCTATTAGAAACAACAGCAAAATTGCACAGTGGTAAGGGCCAGAACTCAAAGAAAAAAAATGAGACTGTGAAGGTTTAGAGAGTCAAACAGGACCTCTATTTTTATTTTATTTTTTTACTCAGTCACAGACAAGACTGAAGAAAATTGAGACTTCTCTACATCCAACCTCCAACTTTCCAAAAATGAGAAAGGAATGTCAGAATACAGAAGCTGCTTGAAAACTAGATCTCCTTTGGGAGAATCATGGAGGAGAATACCACCATTACTATTACAGTTTTAAGAGGAGTGGTGGTATTACTCCATATTTTCTAAAGGCGAACAGGTTCTGCAGCAGAACTATTTCAGTCCCTCCCTTGAATTAACCTACAGCACCCCATTTTTACTGGTCTGTGGACTAGGTGAGTGATCTATGTGCCAGCTGGGGTGGAGGTGACATATTTGAAACTAAAAACAGGTGGAGAATTACATTTCCTGCAGTCAAATGTGAACAAAACTGGGGCCCCATAAGCTTTATGGAAATAATGCGATTTAAAGCAGACACAGTGTATTTAATGGAGCACGGACTTTAAGCCACTTGGAAATAAGTTTCCACGAATCATGGGAAAGCTGACTTTCCTGTAAATGGGGAAGACAGGAGCCACTAGAGAGTTAAGGCAGCAGAAACTGTCCCTGTCTTGGAGATGGTCCAGTTCTCTACAGCAAATATGTGAAATGGGAATGACAGCTTGCACATGGATAATCAGAGGTGGGTTCTTCACAATTAGATGGCTCTGGCAGGAAGATGCACAAGGCCAGAGATGGAATACTGGAAGGTAAAGAGCCAATCACACCCCCACCTCCTACAAGTAGGGATTTGAACGCAGGAGGAGCAAGGGAAGGAATTCAGCTACCGCAATTGTACAGGGGGGGAAAGCCCTTTTGTCTAAGATCTTAACCCTTTCCACATCCTTTCCGCTGTATCTTCTCCTTGCCAGCCCCCACCCACAACAAATGCTCCAGCATTCTGCTGTGTACTGACTGCAGCGCCCAGCATCCCCTAGCCGTTGGACTGGGAGTTCTGGGATAGGTAGTCCAAGCCAGCCCACCCGCCTGTCCCCGTTTTCAGGCCGGCCCGACTCACCTGGAGGGCGACGATGTCGGCGTTCTGCTTCTCCTCCAGCTCCTGGAGCTGCTTCTCGAGGGCCTCGTTCATGCCGCGGGTGGCCTCGATCTCGAGGGTCTTGGCCTTGAGGAGGCGCCGGCTCTCGGAGACCTCGTCCTTGGCGGCGCGGACGGCGTCGGTGTTCTTGGCGGCGCTCTCGGTGAGGACGGTGAAGCGGCTGCGGAACCACTCCTCGGCGTTCTGCATGTTGCGCGCCGCCAGCTTCTCGTACTGGGCGCGGATGTCGCGCAGCGCCGAGGAGAGGTCGGGCTTGGCCGAGACGTCCATCTCGACGGAGAGGTGGGCGTACTGGATCTGGGCCTGCAGCTCGGCCAGCTCTTCCTCGTGGACCTTCTTGAGGAAGGCCAGCTCGTCCAGGAGGCTGTCGATGCGCTTCTCCAGCTCGGCCCGGGCCAGCGCCGCCTCGTCGGCGTTTTTGCGCACCTCCAAGAGGCGGGCCTCGGCATCCTCGCGGCTCAGGATCTCCTCCTCGTAGCGCGCCTGCAGGGCCCGCAGCGTCTCCTCCAGGCTCTCCCGCTCGCCCTGCAGGGCCTGCTTCTCGTGCGTGGCTTCCTCGGTGGCCAGGCGCAGCTCGCGGATCTCCTGCTCGTACAGGGCGCGGAAGCGCGACGGCTCCGAGTGCTTCTGCCGCAGGACCAGCAGCTCGGCTTCCAGCACTTTGTTCTGCTGCTCCAGCTCGTGGACCCGCTCGATGAAGCAGGCGAAGCGGTCGTTGAGGTCCTGGAGCTGGGCTTTCTCCTGGCTGCGGATGGTCTTCAGGTCGTTGCTGATGGCCGCCACTTGCGAGAGGTCCAGGCTATCCACCGACGGCAGGAGCGAGGAGGCGGACGAGGTGGTGGTGGTGTAGCTCCGGCGCACCGACACGGAGGAGACGGGCGCCGAGAGGCTGGAGTAGGTGGAGCGGGCCACGCCATAGCCCCCGCCGCCGCCGCCGCTGCTCCGGGCGCTGGAGAGGTGCACCCGGGAGGAGCTCTCGCCGAAGCGCCGCTTGTACGACGGGAAGTAGGTCTCGTAGCCGAACGTACTCATGGTGGTGGTGGCGTTGCTGGAGGAAGAGGCGGAGGAGAAAGAGGAGCCGCCGTGTCTTCTCACCGGAGAGGGAGAGGCTGCTCTGCGGCTGGGCGGCTGGCAGCCGCTCCTATTTATACCGCCCCGGAGACGGCTCTGACGCAGCGGAGACGGCTCCCGGGGACTGCGTGCCAAAGGAGGAGAAAAGCCGGGCTCTGCAGCAAAGAGGAGAGGAGCGGGCGGAGCCCTTGCCCTGGGGCCCGGCCGAGGTGGCCGAAGCTTTTCCTCTGCCCCTGCGCCCTCCGGGAAGACCTCCCGCCCTCCCCTCGGGAGAGAGAGAGAGATGGAGAGAAAAACGAAATATTCTCTGAGGAGCTGTTGATCGGCCCGGAGCCACCCTTCTTTCTCTCCCAGCCACGCTCTGTGAAGAGTCTGTCCCCTCTATTGCCCTGCGACTGTGTGAAATCATCATCATCATCATGTGCCTTCTAGGCGGTTCTGACTTATGGCGATCCTTTCCAGGCCTTTCCTGGGAGAGAACGCTCAGAAGTGGTTTCCCCTTGCCTTCATCCAGGGGCGCCCTGGGACTCTGCAGCTGGCCCACAGTCGCTTCTGACTTATGGCGACCCTTTCCAGGCCTTTCCTGGGAGAGAACGCTCAGAAGTGGTTTCCCCTTGCCTTCATCTGGGGGCTCCGTGGGACTCTGCAGCTGGCCCGAGGCCACCCAGGCTGGCTCTTCTCATAGGAGGCACAGTGGGGGAATCGAACCTGACTTCATTAAAGGCATCAATTTCATCCTGTTGATTAACAACAAAACGGAATCGGACCTGACTTTATTAAAGACGTCAATTTCATCCTGTTGATTAACAACAAAAGCAGCCACAGGAAAAAAGTGTGTGTTGTTCTGGGCTGTCTTTTGCTTGGCGACCCTAGTAGGGTTTTCATGATACTTGAAATATTTAAAGCATGGTACCATGTCAGTTTAAATGGTCGGGGAAGAATCTGAACACAGATCTCCTAATGGGACACTCTACGCAATGCACCGCATTGCCTTTTCGTAGTATTACATGGACATATAACCTGAACTTGCCTACTAGTGTGCTCTTGTTTAGTGTTCTAGCCAACCTCACCTGTTTCAGGATCCTCTGTTCCATCTTCCCACTCCTTTTCCCCCACCACTGACCATAATATGCCATCAACACTGTTGTCCAATTTCAGGCTTCATTGGGCTGCTTGGGATTCTTACACCATATGGGAGGGGAAAATTTTTGGCTTGTTTCCTTAAACCTGCTGGTACTTTCTGCTCAGCTTGTTAGTGTCTCCCTTGTGTTCATGACAAGTGTGCCATCAGCTGTGTAAAGATCCCTGTCCAGAATGAGTGCTTCTTGACTGTGCATTTATCTCCCAAAAAGTTTATTCCCATTTTATGCTGATAGTTCAGTGGAAATATCAGCTCACCATGCAGCAGTTTAAAAAGAGTTAAATTTCCTGGCACGGGTTATTAGAAAAGGAATGGGCAGTGATGCACTCAGAGTTACTCGTGCTTTCTCTGCATGTATAACCAGCTGCATTTCAGCTGCCACACCCCTGCCTTTTCTTCCTGGCAGGGCTCATGTGATTGTAACACCATCAATAGAAATTATGGATCTTTTGAAGAAGGGATCACCAGTTAGTCCTGAAGCATATAGGTTACCTACAGAAGGTCACAACACCTCCAGTTAGAATCCAGTCCCCTGTATCTGAAGGCAGAACAAGGAAAGAAACCTGCAAGAAACCACAGAGGTCTGGGAGAGCATCTGCCTGTCACTATAGAGTTAATGGAATAAACAGTCTGAGCTGGTAGAAGACAGCTTCCAATCTTTTAGAAGAGAAGCCAAAGATAGAGTCTAAGTCTGGGAGGGCATCAGAATGCAAACTTTGCATACATATGATTCCCAGGATCTCTAGGTAAAAACACTAGTGATCTGATGAACTGTAAGATCTATCAAAGACTGCAGTTACCAATCCAGAGAAAATGAGAAAATCATTGAGCTTCCAGCTGTATTAGCTCACAGTGTCCATCAGCCCCACTAGCATAGTCAATGGTAGGGAACTGTGGGTTTTGCAACTACAAGCTATGATCAGCAAAAGTTTCCCCATCCATGGAATGGACCATGCATGTCTAGCTGGGGAAAGAATTTGACTTCGTATGAGGCTGCTTCTGATATTGCTAAGAAGAGTGGCTTCGAACAGAATAGGAGTAGGGACAGCAATAGCTCCTGAACCTTAGCCCTGTTAAAGGCCAGATGTGACATAGCCAGAAAGCCTATCAGAACTTTTAAAAGAATTGCAAGCAAATCTTTCTTGAACAAATTGAACTGAGATATTATACATCACCTTTCTGAGTACGGCTTGCCCCATTTTATTCTCACAACAGCTTGGTGATGCTGCTTGGCTGAGAGGAGGTTGCTCACGTTCAGCTGGTGAATTTGTAGCAGGGATAGGAAATCCAGATGTTGCTGGACTGCTCCTCAGATCAATCCTCACTGTTGGCTCTGGTGGCATAGGCTGATGGGGAATGCAAGTCGTAGAACCCTGGAGTTGGAAGGGTCCCTAAGGGTTGTCAACACCTTCATGCATGAATTACCCCAAAGCAAGAAGCAACTTGCATGAAGGTGTAACAAAAACAAAACAACATAACTCCCCTCCTCCTCTTCCTCCTCCTCCCAATTTGAAATTGACTCTTAAAGCTACCTGTGTTGATGGATTTTACTTGGCTCTCCTCCTCCTCTTCCTCCTCCTCCCAATTTGTAATTGACTCTTAGAGCCACCTGTGTTGATGGATTTTACTTGGCTCTCATCTCATGGTTCCTGCCACCATCAAAGAATCCATGCTATTGGCTGGGAAATGAAGGTGAACTCTTTATGAGTAGGGATGGGCCCTAATCATATCAGAAATGGATGCCCTCTACTTGGACTGAGTCGAGCCAGTCCTGATGCGTTTTATGGATTCAGGGTGCAGTTAAAACAAAGCAGCAGTGAGCAAGGGGTCGGACTTGATGACCTTACAGCCCCTTCCAACTTTGTTATTCTATGGTATGGAAGTCAAACAGAAAATTGGTCCTTGATTTTGGGTACGTGCCCCAGATTTCAAAGCATTCTTCTAGAATAGGGAACAGGTGCTCCATTAGATCAGAGTGGGAAGCTTTGAAGGGTCTATGAATCTACCTTTCGACCTGATAATTCTCTGGGGCCTACTGAGAAATTTGGAAAAAGAAAACGTCAATTTCTAATTTCAAAATACAGTATAGCAGGAGTACAAAGAAATGGTGCTGGTGGGACTTACAGCAGAGAGAGCCATAAGCCAGTCCACTAAGGATTCTTAGTAGCCATGGAATATTGACCATATGGAAGAGGAAAGCTTGGAAGACCAGAGTGGGGTAGTTGGAATCCTGAGCAGAGATGCATTTTTCCTGTGCAGTCTCTTAATGTTGCACTCTGTCACGTGGGCCTATCCTGCTTTTTCTCCGAGCTAAAAAAAGCTGGCCGCCAAAGGACTGATGCTTTTGAATTGTGGTGCTGGAGGAGGCTCTTGAGAGTCCCCTGGACTGCAAGGAGAACAAACCTATCAATTCTAAAGGAAATCAACCCTGAGTGCTCACTGGAAGGACAGATCCTGAAGCTGAAACTCCAATACTTTGGCCATCTCATGAGAAGAGAAGACTCCTTGGAAAAGACCCTGATGTTAGGAATGTGAGGGCAATAGGAGAAGGGGATGGCAGAGAACGAGATGGTTGGACAAAAACCAACATGACTTTGACCCAACTCCAGGAGGCAATGGAAGACAGGAGGGCCTGGCATGCTCTGGTCCATGGGGTCACGAAGAGTCGGACATGACTTAATGACTAAACAAACAAACAAACTAGGGGTGAGGGAGGCAGCATCATGAATCCTGTGAGGTTGATTAAATTGAGGGCTAAGGACTGGACGAAGATGGCTAAATAAGCACCATTGCATAGTGAACCTTTGAAGGTCCTGTGAGGTCGATTAAATTGAGGGCTATGGACTGGACGAAGTAAGCACCATTGCATAGTGAACCTTTGAAGATGGGTTTTTGTAGCCTTACTAACCATGAGGTCCCCACCCAACATCTCTTGTCAGAAGTCAAGACTTTTTCAGCAGCATTTTAGATGATAATGATGAAACAGAAGAAACAGCCTTACAGCAGCTGAAAAGAAGAAGCCTTATAACAGGTCAGTTTATGGATCCTGTTGTGTATAGAGATCAACTCCACTGCGGTTCCTTCCAGGTTTTAGTAGTAACCTTAGGACAGCGGTTGTAGAGGCTAACTTTCCCTCCCCCAATTAGTACAGATGCTGGGCAATTAGCCAATAGAGTAGGGAGAGTTGGAAACCTCCAAATGAGGGATGGGGTTTTTTATACATGTGTGTGTGTGTGTGTGTGCGTGCGTTCGTGCGTGCGCGTGCGCGTGCGTGCGTGTGTCTTCTGTCTTCAGTAAACGAAGTGGAATTACTACTGTGTCGCGGCTCTTATTTGTCGTCAAACCCCACTATCTAACAGATCCATACAGCCCAGAAGCATCAGCATCACCAGCATCTTTGAACTGGAGAGCTGAAAGGGACCCTTTGGATTATTGAATGCAGCCTATGTCAAGGAGGCCCAGTGACCTCTAGCTCTGCAGCCAGAGACCTAAACCACTGAGCTTTCCAGCATGATGCAGACAGGAAGGAGAAATACACCAGGTCTGCATTCTAATATTAGAGGTTTTCACTGACTGAATGCATAGGTGAATCAGAATGCATTTGTGCAGTGAAAACTGCACTCTTCATAATTTGGTTTATAGCTGGGGAAAAATGTTCAAATATACATTGCTTGATTGCATTCATATGCCTCCTTTCGCCCAGAACTGGGACTCAAAACAGCTTTCAAAATTGTTTCAGAATGATGGAAAGTTAAAATACAATAGAGTTAAAATATTAAAATAGGACTTAATACAGTACAATATTAAAATTAAAATTATTGGTTGAGAGTTCTGTACTTCCAAGATTATTCTAAAATTATTATTTGATTTAAAATGCTAAAAGAGATCAAGCGAAGTGCACACAAAGTTGCATATTAAAG